CTGGCTGTTTTTTCAAAAGTGATTGGTGAACTCAATGCAATTGGTCACTGTAGACATTAGCAGTAATAGTCTGGCCAGATGGTATAAGTTCATAGTGAACAATTCCATTTGCAGTCCACCATATGCACAATATTGGCAGGTACCAATTGATGAAGCATCCATTAGCTGAGCTTGTAAACTTTCCCAAGACAATGCAAATGTTTCATCAGTTACGGAGAACCTTTGTGCTAACATCTGACAAGTTTGAGCAGGATCTTCTTCGACTGTAGCCTGTAATTCATCGGCATTGTCATGGCGCATCTTTAAGCGACTCATTGCTGGAAAAAAATTTTGTAAATTTGGATGGTGTGAGTGCTAACAGAACTTGTTTAAAAGTCTGGCATATTTTTTGAGCCATTTGCACAGCATTTGTTCCAAGTTTAAACTCATACAACATACAAGCACGAATTATAGAGTTTGGAGTACTCATCTTCAGGTCAATTTTTATAATATTAAGATATAACCTTTCCACTTCTCTTTATATAAGGTAAGTCAGCATTAAATCTTGATTAACATATTGCTGGAATTTTAGTGCCATCTATTGTGTATTGCATGTAACATTCTTTAAACTTTGTAGTTTCACAAAAAACGACAGAACTTTTTTGGTTACCTAATATTTAAAATATGACAGTACTAATTAACATTTACAGTACAACATATTTTTACATAAATATTTAGAGTTTAAAATCAGCAAATAAAAAATCTTCTAAATTCACAATAATTAAAATAGTGCTGGAGCAAAAAAATCTAGATACAGATATCCTAAACATAGTAAAAAGCAACACATTTTTGAATGAAGTATTTCATGTAATTCTGTTAGGCTCTCTTAATATGACTTATTTATTCTGTTAGGCTCTCTTAATATGACTTATTTATCTACTCTCTCAGTTACCTGTGTTCAAACTTACCAGAAATTGTGTTGACAAAATCACTGTGTGATGGTACACAATGCAGTCAACATTGCCAGCTTAATGTTTTTTACAGTAGATTTAGTGCTATTTTATGATACTGGTGCAAAAAAATATTGATATAATGTTTGTGTGTGTTAAATCAGTGCCTTTAAACTAATTTAAAGCAAATTTAGTCCTTTGTAAATTTTGACCCTTTGAAGGTTTTAAAAATGCTGGTAATGTGGAAATAATATGATAATGCTGGCAAAGTATGAAAACTATTGCTGGCACTGTGTTAAATACTGACAGGTGGCAACTCTGGTTGAGATGTTTCTATCATCTCATTGATATTGTGTTTAAAATGGAGATTGTTTTAATTTAATAGCATATTAATGTTTGTTGGTGAAAATAAACCTAGAAAAAGTATATACATAACCATTAACATCTGCAAGTAAATATAGATAATATTACAGTATTAGTTTTTAGAAAACAGTACAACTATCATTGCATGTTGTGTACAGACATATAACTAGCATACTATATGGACATGCAACATTGTCATATAAAATACAAATCAGTTATTTTTTTGAAAGTTACAGAATAAGATAATCTCTGAAGACTTGTATATACATAATTGTTATAAATTTGTCAATGTAATTGAACGTTTTAGTAAAAAAAAATATATGATAAATAATAATTTTTATTATTAACAATATTTTATTAATTTAATTTGACTGTATTATCAAAAATTGTTTAAATTAATTCATTTAAAGTACAGTTGACTCACCTTAAAACAAACACTGATAAAGAGAATTCTCGTGTTAAAGTAAATTTTGCTGTTTCCTGGCAAAATGTTATTGTCATGTCATTTTGCAGTGTGATAAATTGGCAATTTTACCAGAATTTGTTAAACTGAAAGTACATTACTTTCACACACTGAGAAATTACCCTATTTCCAATAACAGTTGCTTTTTACACTTTTCAATGTGAATAATAAAAATTGGTACTATATACAGGGGGGGTGTAAAAGTAGGTACAGTATATAGTTGAGAATCTGAGAAATACAAATGTTTGATGTTCATTATTATTATGTTTTATTAATTCGTATTCCTTATTTGTGATTTAATTTGTATGTAAAAATAAATATTTTTTCTTCCAATTTTCTCCCTGTATGTTTTTTCCATAATAACAACTGTATACCTACTTCTGCACCCTCTGTATAATAAATGTTCTAGTCTGAGTAGAATAGAATTTCTTCTAGTAAACAAAGATGAGTTTTATGTCTAATTATGCAAAAAGTTTATTAACATCACTTCTCTTTGACAAAATATTGTAAACAATTCATATTTATCACTGACAATAAAACAGATAAGCCATTGATTCCACTGTTTGTATATCTGTAATCTATCATGGAATGCCTAGAATGCCCACTAGGGGCATCCCTAGCGATGATTTTCAGCTATTATTTAAATTAACAGTATAATCCAGTACATTATTATTTTTATTTGTAATAGAAATTTATTATTGATATGAATTTATTATTTATACCACGGAATGACACCGCTGCTGTTAGAACGCTCACTAGGGGCGATCTCGTAAAACAAATAACAAACCTTTGATTTTAGAGCAGCTCAAACATCTGATTTTAGGAGATCATTCTACAATACTCATAAAACAGGAGTTAAAGTTTAAGGATTCCCAACTCTTTACATTGATGCAGTCTATGCAAACACATGCTAGTTTGCATATTGAGGTATGCATACAGTGATTTGAAAATTATTTAGAACATTAATTTGTTTTTGTAAATAAATTTTATTTTATTTAGTAAATTAATTCAAAATATAATTAGAAATTTTGATTGCTTATTAATCTATAACGCCCTAAATTATATGACCTTGATTCTGATAATCATTAATATGAATTTTTGATAAAGTGAACTACTAACTACTGTTCTTCTGGTGATTTGTATTAATGTGAGTTGACTGTATATAAATGTAAAAAATACCTATATAATAGCTTGTTATATGAATCTCATTTTTTGATTCAGAAAACAAAATCAGTTATTAAATTTTAATATGTGAATATTGAATATTGATTTATAATATATTTTACCAACGAGTTTATGAATTTAATGGTTTATTATAGTTTTTGTACTCTAGTAAGGTTGATAGTAGTAACATACACAAACAGTTTTTCAAATTATACTACTAAGTTTATGTTAAAATCATAATTGTGTGAATTTGTTTACATATAATAAAAAGAAACAATTTGAACATTGTATTTTTTTTATATTATTTATAAATATTCACAAACTAAAACAGAAAGAAAAACTTTTCTATAATCTACATTATATTTTCTTGAAAGATTACATTGTTGATACTTTTTATTCCAATGATTAATATAAATACAGTGAAACCTTGATCTATCATTTTTGGCCAGACTTGTGGGAAAAAACAATTGATGTGGGAAATTTATGACATTGATGTTTTTATTATTTATCTCTTATGAAACATATATTTTCCTGTGATACACCTATATAATGGCTTTCTGTAATACTAAACAATATGGTGCTTGCACATGAATGTGCATTTATTCTACACTAGCTGTGTCCGCAGTTTTGCCCACATGGAATTCAGTTTGTGACTATAACAGTATCAGTTAGATGATATCTTTTAATTTATATGAATGTTTTAGGAATGCATACAGGACAAAAGATATTCATTATTTTAAGTGAAAACAAATAGGCAAATGTTCAGCACAAGTTCGGACACGTGCACTGCATATCTTGCCGACCATGTGACTCTGCGTGGTTACCTATCTCGTATACATATGTGTCTTGCCCCTCACCACTTGCTGACACCAAAAATATAATGCTTACCTAGATGATATCTTTTAATTTATATGAATGTTTAACGGAATAATATACAGCCTATATCCACCCTGAAGGTCCATTCTAAATATTGGTGAAAGAATTTTTGAAATCAGATAAGTAGTTTCAGAGATTACCTCTTACATCCAAACTTACAAACTTTATTTCTTTATAATATTAGTATAGATTTTTTAAAAAATTGTTAAGATTACTGTAATTTGTTCTATTTTCTTTTGGTAAGAATTCCTAATGTATTGATATATCAAAGACAGCTGATCAGAAAAATTCAATATTGCAATTACTTATATGGTAAACAACAATATAACATGTGCATTTACCATTACTAATAAATCTGAAGACATTTGTCAGAATAGAAGTTTATGTAGTAAAGTGTATTTGTAATTTTTCTGGTTACCAGTTCAAAATACATTTTTGTATGTCACATTCTGCATTTGAAAGTATGTAATTTGCATATAATTTATGATGGCAGCCATCTTAACTTCTGTTTTCAGCACTCTGAACCTCACTGTACTAGTGCAACAATGCGGTTCAAAGTGCTGAAAACAAAGCAGCTTTAAACAGTTTTGGTGAAAATGCACCCAATATTTACAATAAAATAAAATAGATTTAATTGCTGTGTAAACAATCGCAAGAATTATCCAGGAAAAGACAATAATTTGTTGTCTTTTGGTATGATTACAATGTTATAATACAGTACTGTGTTTTATTATCCTGTTAGATAAATACAATATGTTAAGAGGGACTATTTGGGAAATTGGTTTAGTTTCATACATGAATGTTAGAGTGTAATCTTAAATATGATATGCTTTAATTTAGTACGCTCTATTGTGGGTAGAACAATTGATGCTGGATAACATTTTTTTTTAGTTAAAATAAAGAATGAAAATTGTGGGAAAACAGATGTTGTGGGAAAATTAGCATTATGTATATATGGGTGAATATTTGGGACTGGGTGAAAAATTGACAGATGTGGGGAAAATGATCAATGTAGGAATGATAGATCAAGGTGTCACTGTAAATTATTATTAATTTTATAAATGTAAGTATGGCTTTTCAAATGTCTTATTAAACAAAAGTTTCTTTAAAATTTTTTAAACTGGAATTAAATTCTGATAACTCATATAAATTTTTAATTCATAAATCAAATGTTAGTTTACTTTAATTATTTTCTATTTATTTAGTTTCAACTTCTTGCAACAAAGTTATTCAAACAGTCTCAGCAAAAAGAGAAAGATATTAATGAAGGTTAGTTTCAAAATTAATCATTCTTTGAACAATTTATTATTTCAAATTAATGTTCTTATTAACTAAATGTTCTAACTTTACAACAAAACAATTTCAATATCATTAAAACATATCTTTAAAATAAAATAATGTAACAAAATCTACTTTATTCAAAAGTAAATATCATAAACATGTAAAATAAATGACATATTCGTAAACAATATTACAAATATGTCATTTATTTTATTTTATTTTTTTTCTCTACAAAGATACAAATTATATTTTTGTAGAGAAACTATAATTTTATATATAAAAACTAGCTGTTACCCACGACTTTGCCCATGGAGGTTTTGCAAGCAAACCCCATTTATATTCAGTATTTCAGCAATCAAAGTAATTGTTATATAACACCTACCACTTGAGAATGATGAGAATTGCTGAGAATCAAACAAACTATATTCAATTTGATCAATTTTCTGGAACGTTTACAATTGTTCTATAATAGAACCAATATGCAATAACAAATTTGAATTTAAAACAGTTTGAACATTTAGTTAAAAAATCTAAATATATAAAAATATTTATAACAATGTCTGAAATGTTATCAATTTAATACACCTAAGTACTCAATGAAGACTAAACGTAGTTGAAAACAAAAAATCGCATCTAAAATAGTACAGTAGAAGCCGTTCTTCCGGTTAAGCCTTAATGCTCTCCCTCTTCCCCTATGAGGGAATTTTGAAAAATCCCTTCTTAGTGTGCGTTTTCATGACGTACCCTAACTGTGTACCAAATTTTACCTCTTTAGGTTCAGTGGTTTGCTCTGGGTGATGATGAATCAATCAGTGACTCAGTCAGTCAGGACAAGTAATTTTATATATTTAGATTAAAATTTTTATACACTTCTATAAAATGAATTGCTTATCTTATCACTTACTTCATTTTATCATCAACTTTTATACAAATAAACATTAACTAATAGGATGTCTAAAATTACAAAGTAAAACTTTTTATATTTAAACAGTGTTTAAAATTTTGTTTTATTTATTAACTCTGGTTTTATTTTATATAAAATAAAAATGTTTACAACTATATTTTTTTCATTATTTATTAAACATTACAAACATGTGTATTCTTATACTTTCATTTTTGAAAATAGTATAAAAAATGAAATAATTGCAAAATTTGAAATATAAAGATAGTATGGTAAAACTCCTTTTGTCTGTCAATTTCTGTTAATCATCATATCACTAGACTTTGTCACTTGTCTAAGTAGTACAATTGTAACAGCAGTGCATACTTATTCTCCATTATTTTGTTCTTTTCTTTGTACTAGTTTTTCACTTAAAAGTGATGAAGAACTAGTGTGAAATGTAAAAATTATGGATGGGTTCAAAAATGAGGAGGATGAAAAAGTAACAATAGATGCAAAACCATAATTAACTACAGTGAAGCAAAGTTATGCTTCCAAAGTGCATTGAAATGGTTTTAAGTGCAAGAAGCAGCAGAGGCATCTAAAGTGCTATTTTTGTATAAAATTTGCAACATTGCATCTGTGAAGACTAGGAGTGGACTGAAACAAAAACAAATTACCTTAAAATGGAATTTATTTTAAATAATTTTATAGAACTTCCATTAACCATCTTTTTGTTTATCCACCAAGTTTCCAGTGCTGACATCACTAAATAATTAAAGCTTTTTTTCCAATATTGACTGAATAAGGAAGCTTAACTGTTCTTAAATCTAGCCTTACAAAAATTATTTACATATTAATTTTGACATTCTAATATGTCAGACTTTATCTTATGTCTTTTCTTCTTTATATTAACTTCATATTCTTTAAATCTCTGGCTTGTAGTGACCAGGATATATATCCTATACAAAAATAATTGTTGTACCTGGTTTTTGTTATAAAATGGGATTAAATATATTCCTAAATTTTGTGTCTAATTTCTGCAGATCTTTCTCATTCCTAATTAAGAAGTAGATTTTTGGTTTTCATATGCACAAGAAACTTTTGTCATTCTTCTAGAAGTTGACTTCCAATAATCCACTAGTCTTCTTATTCTGACACTGCTTCAGTCCCATATATATTGGATTACTGAGATAGTACTCTATTGTGTTAAAATTACAAATGTCCAAATTAACATTAGTAATAAGCACGATATATTTTTTAACAAAAAAATTTTATCAACAAATTTTATCAACAAAAATTATATCAAAGATCAAATAAAAATTAGGTAAACCTCAGCAGAAAGGAAAATACTCAACATTGAGATTACTATTGTGAAATTTAAGATCAAGTGTAAGGCTTCTCTGCATGGCATTTGGTACTCGAGGCTGTGCAGAGAAGCCTCACACTCAGTTTTTGATGATGTTCAGCCATTTCCCCTTTGATTACTTTTTTAACCAGACAAAAAATGTACTAGTCTCAAGACACACTACAACTATGTAATTTAAATTATACTGTTATCTTTCATAGGACCTAATATAGGATTTGTCCCCATACAAATGGGATGAAGTACATGTCATCCAAACCAATGAATAACCCACTATTGATTACCATACTTTTACTGCAATTGCAAGATATAACCCAAGCCAATGCTTATATCTACACCCTAAATGTATAAAAAATTATGAACAGCATCCATAAACAATTTTTATGGAATTTTCCATTACAAAATTAATCTGTAAATTGGATAGGAAATAGTATGAATTTTTAAAGCAATCTAGTCTAAAATACAAATTATTGACTATTGTCATTGTACAACTATGATTCAGAATTTTTGTGATTTTTTTCTTCTTCACAAGATAAGATATTCTTTACCTATGATATCAAATATACCTTGTTAGGTGTATTAAATACTCAGTTCAGATGTTACGCCAACAGTTAACTTAATCAAAATACCAAAATTTATTAGAAAAGTCTATAATAGGAGTATTAAAAAATATATATATTGACTTTGAAGTTATTTAAATTAATTATGGATGTATAGAATAAAAAAACAATAATTATCTGATAGTCATAAATGTATGTAAAGTATTTTTATTTCAATATTTCATTCGTATATTTTTATAACTTTAACTTCTTTAGATTATTTAAACTTATAATCAATTATTTGATAATGATTATAATATTATCAATATGTAACTGGTTCAAACACCATTATTCTCTAGGCCAGGGGTTGGCAACCTTTTAGATATTGCGGACCACTAACATAATTTTTAAAGATATGAATTTTTATGANGTTCGTTTGATTTTCGGCAATTCTCTTCAGCGGTAGGTGTTATATAACAATTACTATGGTTATTGAAATATTGGATGTAAATGGGGTTTGCTTGCAAAACCTCCGCTGACGAAGTCGCGGGTAACAGCTAGTTATATATATTTAAATAAATAAATTTATATTTGTATTAATAATTTTAATTGCATTTATTTGACGGTAACATAAACACAAAAAAGTAATAAATAATAGTAATATATATTAAAAATTAGTGCAACATTTGCTGCTCTTGCTTTAAAATTATTTTACTAATCCTTGGCTCCAATGATGTCACTGTAACACATAAAGGAGCTTCTATTTCAAGCTGAGCACAATATTTGTTTTTAACAGTTGAGAATGGTTTTTCACACAAGTAGATCATTGTGAATGGAGTCAAACGTTTTAAGGCTTTTTCACTCAATATTGGATATTCGCTTTTTACAGAAAGCCAAAAATGACTTCTTGAAGATGAGTTGAATTGAAGTTTGAAAGTATCATCTGATGATAATTTGATTAAACTTTCTTTTTCTTTCACATTGAAATTGCTTTCCTCAATATTTGAAGAAAATGGGTTTACTATTTACATATTTCCATTTCTGGGATCCTCTTCTTTTGGATAATAATGTTCAGAAGACTCTTTGAATGGCTGCAAGTGCTGTTGAACAAGACCTATTATCTGTCGGTTGATGTCTTTTTCTTTTATGTATTCATCCAGATTTGGAAACATTTGCAAATCTTCTCCAATTAATAGTTCTTTCCATAACAATATTTTCTTCTGAAATGCATCCATTTTACTTTGCAAAGTAAAAACGTCTGAAAGTTCTCCTTGAATAAGTATGCTCAACTCATTTAACAAAGAAAAAATGTCTGCCAAATAAGCAAGCTTTGCTACCCAGTCATCATTGAAGAAGAAATTTTGGAATTTAGAATTATTTTGTTGTTGAAAGAATAATTCTACTTCTTGTTGCATATTAAACAATCGGGTTAAAACTTTACCCGTTGACAACCAACGCACCTCAGCATGAAGATGATGATGATTATGTTCTGAGCCCATTTCATCACAAAGTGATTCAAATAATTGAGAGTTGAGAGCTTTATGCCGAATTTCATTTACAATTTTAATTACATCAGACAGTACTTCATGCAATTCTGGAGATAATCTTTTTTCAGCAAGTTGTTCATGGTGTAAAGTACAATGAGTAAAAATTATATCTGTGTCCAACATTTTTTATTTTTTTAACAACTCCAGATTGATGCTCGGTCATACTTGCAACACCATCTGTACATATTCCTATTAGTGATGTGCCGGGTATCCGTATCCATATCCGCGGATATCCGAGGGAAAAAAAAAGATCCATATCCATATCCATTACTTTTTAGCGGATCTTTAACGGATCTTTTATCTTAATGAATTTCATTACTTATATGAAATTTTAAAGATAGGTAGCAATAGCACATTCGTCATTTACTATCGTAAAATATTTCCATATTACACTACTAAACTTTTTTGTCGACATTGTTTTTATTTTAATTTAACTCAACACTCTCCAAAAACACAAACGTAATCTATGCTATCCCGTGTCACACTAACCACAAACCAGTGTTTCCCAACGTGGGGCCCACGCCCCACAGGGGGCAATTGGATTGCTAAGGAGGGCAATTCGAAAATGGACTTGTCCAGAGTTTAAGTTAACCGTATAGCTGCTGTATATGTTAGGAAGACATAAGAATTTTTGAAAGGCTTAGGTGGGGCATAGCACAAA